CTCTGCTTCAGAGACTTCAGTCCATGGTCAGCTGGCTTCAAGGCAGGAACATAGTGGTGGAAGGGTGTGGTGGAAGCGTGTGAAAATATTCCTCTACACAGCTGACAAACACCTTCCATGGGTAGATAGCAAGATATGACAATTTTCTTTCCATTTTCTATCATCTGCACCATGGTCAGATGGTGGTGGAGCAAAGCTGCTTAGCTCATGGCTGCTGGGAAGCAGAGTAGAGGAACGGTGCCAGAAAGAGGCCAGGGACCACAAACAGTACTCAAAGTCACTTCTCAGTGAACCACCCAGACACACCCAGAAGTGCGTCTTTACTAAGTATGTTTGCTTTACTAATCCCTGGGCATTTCTGAACCCAATAAGTTGACACAATTAAAGTTAACCACCATAACCACCTAGCCTGGGGCTAATCTGGGTCTTGGCTGAGTCTCACGGTCAGAAGAACCTGCACAGCGTCAAGTACGCCTTGAGGCTCCTGCCACAGCTGGCAGTGATGCTGGCCAAAACCCTGAGTCAGTCCCTCTGGGTGCAGGTCTGGCCTCTGCCTAGTGTCAACGCTGTTTTACAGCTCCATCTGTGAGCCCTGGGCTGGTGACAGCTGTGCTGCCTGAGGTTGAGAACAAGGGGTGAAAACAGTCCCAGCCACCATGGCTGAAGCTAAGACTTGGGTGAATTTCATATTCACAGAGGCTTGTGCAGTCCTGGTGGAGGGCAGGTGCCCTCCAAGGCAGGATCCACTGCTCCAAGGCTGGAAGTCATGCAGCTAGAACTCAGGTCGTCCCACCACTGCACAGAGCTGGTCTAGAGGCTCCACCCATGACAGCACAAGGTCTTCTACTCTGCCTGGCACTGGGGATGACCACAGTGGACCTGACACTCTGCTGTGAGACAAAGCCGTGGGCTTCCTCTCCTGCCCTGCTCTTTTGTGGGTGAGATCAGCTTCCCACTCTGGTGGCCTGATACAGTTCAGTGCCTCAGTCTGGAGGTACTGGCCTGGAGGGAGAGATGATGGAGCTTTGCCCATTGCTGGGTTTCAAGCCTAAGGCTAAGACTTAACACTCCCTACCTCCAATGGGAAGCATCTTTCTCCTTCCCGGGCTGCTTGGATTTGAGGGAGGGGTGATTCAGGCAACTCTTTCCTTCCTATCTCTTTCAGTATGTCTTCTTGTTCTGTCACACTAAAAGTAGGTACTATGGTCACTTATCTGATTTTCTTAGCTTCTGTGAAGGTAGTTTGCTAAGTCAGTAGCTGTTCAACTAGAGCTAAAACCCAGGGCCTTGCACTTGCTATACAAGTCTGACTGTTCTACACTGAACTAAACCCTTTCGATTGGATGCTAGACTTGGTGAATTTTACCTTGTTGTGTGTTGGACATTTTAATATGCTTTTAAATATTCTTAGGCCTTTTCTTCTGTTTTGCATCTGAATTAGTTGTAAAGAGTTTGATCCTTTTGTGGTTTGCTTTTTAAATCTTGTTAGGTTGACGAGAAAACATTTAGACCACCCTCAAGGCAGTTCTCTCCTTCGCTATCTCATGCCACATGTATGAGGAGACTCTTCTACCCTGACTGATGGGCACACAAATAACTCCCATCCTTGTGTGAGTCTCAGGGTTTGTCCTTCCTCTTTCTTTCAAGTTGTCTTTTCCTTGGCCTTGGGTACTGGGAGTCATAAGGAACTTTCTGGAATTCTCTAGAAATTTCTGTCTGTGAAGCAACCTCTTCTCCATACAGTTCTCTCTTATATGTTTCTTGTCTTTTGACTTCCAACTTGCTATAACCTCCCCAGATTCTCTGTACCATCTCTTAAGTCAGGATTTACAGACTTTGTTGGGCTCTGCCTTCCTGTGCTGAGGTCTGGAGACAAGGCAGTAAAGTAGGGCACCCATGGAGCTCATCTTGTTCGTCCCCTTTATCTGAGGGATCACTGTCTTTCACTTCCTGTTGTCCAGCATCTAAAAAGCACTTTTCCAAGTGTTTTGTTCATTTCTTCCTAGTTGTTGAAGGAGAGAGGGTGACCTCAGTCCTGTGCTCTATCATCTGCACCATGGTCAGATGTGGATGACCACATTTCCACACTGTTCTTTGAATCATTAAGAGGGCCGACACCTCATCACTGCAGACAATGCCTGGCACGTTACGTAGACAGTCAAACATGACCTAATAATTGAATGAATGGAAAGCTTGTCTTCCAAACTGTAGTGACACAGTGTTATCTTCACTGCCCAGGTCAGACACTCATTAGTGAAACTTCGAAAAATGCACTTTGAGCTATGTAAGTTTAGGTTAAAATCCCTGCTCTCTTACTTAGTCAGTGTGCCTCTCACTTCTGAGTATAACATGTGCACCTTGGAGGGCAGGCACGGGAATTAAATAAAAAATGGTATATAAAGAGCTCTTGGTTAGTTCTTAGTGAAATGGGAACTTCTGCTGTTCTTGGTGTGCAGAAACACTGACTTTACACTGGGATAGTGTTTTATAACTCATAAGATTTTCATGTAGGTATCTTATAAAATCCTAACAATACATTTTCTCTCAAGTAATTGTCTTGGTTTCATATGAAGCAAACAAAAGTTCCCAGGCCTTTATAAAGAAGGTTAAAAAAAAAAACCCTCAAGAATAGCCAGGCTAATAATTTTCACACTTGGAGGGTTAGGTACATGGGTTTGCTTGTATGACAGGCTCTTAAACAGCACACTCTATTTTTGTCTTTGCAGGAGAACATCTGGGCTTGTATGATAGACTTTGTCTCTCAAATTATTTTACCTTGGCATCTAGTTCTGTATGCCAAAAGCAGTTGTTTGTTGTACCACCTTCTGTAGTACAAGACCTAAATTAATATTATGTGTTGCTTTGGCATCTGGTAAATTTGGAAATGCCTGAATGACCCAGCTGAAAATTTCCCTGTCTGCTCTGCTCTCTTCAGTAAGGTCCTCAAGCCCATGAGGCTCCTGAGGGGACCAGGTAGAACAGGAAGATCCAGTTTCCTGCCAGCCCAAGCAGTTATGTAAATGAGACAATCTCATCATCCTGTGGGACCAGGGGGCATCTTACCCTCTTGTATTACCAAGCCTGCCATTTTGCTCTGTTCCAATACTTGTATGGCCCGAGTGCATTGGCTCCCCTAGGCTCTGGGTATTTCTGGCTAATAAACTGCTGATGATCTCATTGGCCCAATATCAGGTGTCATGTATTTGGCCATCTTCATAGCCCTAGGGGGATTCTTTCCCACACCAAAAGAGTGGGTAGGAGGCCATCCAATTTCACCCAAGTCTACTGCTCACATGGAACAGGTAGGGGCAGTACCTTCACATTCGCTCCTCTGAAAAAAAGTTTAGGCACTTATAAATGTGCTTTCTAATCCTTTGAAGACCACGGGAGTTTAAAGACGTGGGCTAGAAGAACAGGAGACAATGACTCTGAGCTCCGGCTTTCCCACACTCGGGGAGAGAATGACATGAAGTGTGGCAGCCAGGGTGCTCCTTCTCTTCACTCTCCTTCCCTTCTTTCTCATCCCTGGTGGGAAGGAGTCTTTAAACCTGATGTGCCTCAAGATTTGGCTGTGAGAGGTGCCCAGTATTAGGAGAGGAGGACTTGTTCATCTAATAACTGCTTTGGCTATGGATCCTACCAAGGTTGTTGGACTCTACTGTTATTTCCCTAATTTGAACCAGGAGTGTGGTCCAGTTTGCTTGGAGAAGGGGTAGGTACAAAAGATAGAATCAGAGTCTTTGGATGAGAAGAGGGCTAGAAAAAGAAGTGTTGATAAAGTGTCTGTCCTGTTGGAACTGACATATTTAAGGCTATAAAATACAAATTCCACCAAAAATTTAAATAATAGGAATATAGTTAAATTTCAAAAGGTACATATATGTGTTTTATGTTTGTGTGTTTATTTCTCCAGCATATTTCTAGGTGAATTCCTAACCAAATAAGTTAATTTAAGTGAAAGGGAGAATTTTTGGTGAATCTAGACATTTTTCATAGGCAGCTGCATTTAAATCTTTCTTCCTGTCCAAAAGAAGGAATGTTTATATACATATAACATAACATAATGTTTATATATATATAACATATAATGTAGCATAAAAATGTTTATATACATATACACACACAATAGCTAAAATAATTGTACTACTAATTGTACTACTATTGGTACTACTGGTATAATTGTACTACTACTGGTTTATTGAAAGTTAATGCTTAATTTTTTTAATCAGTTTTGCAGGCCTGTATCTGTAATCTGAACAACTACTTTGAAAATAACAATATGCAATATAAAAACCATTGTTAATTTCCTATCATCTTGTTTTGAAATTCTGTACCATTTTTAATGTCTTTTAAAATTTTTTTATTCTCTTTAAAACAAAACACCTATAAATCTTTTTTCCTTTCTAGTGAGCAAAGAATCTTTTTTGTCTATGACTTGTACTCTGAGTAACATTCTGGCCATTGTTTAAGATCACGACCCAATATATTGACTATTGGTATTCTCTATTTTGTTATGAAATTTTGTTTTATTTTTCATAGAAGTTAGAAGAGTGCTTTTAGTATTTTCTTTATTAATATCTACTTGTATAACATTGAAATTAAAAAAAATTTTAAAAAATCTTTCCACCAGCTGTGCCCAAGGGAGGTTGTTTTGCTCATAAAATGTCTTTTTCACACTAAGTTAGAATGGTCTTTTTTAAGAGAGCAAGAGACACAGAAGCCTACTGAAATTCGCTGAGAAGTTTGTGTACAATACAAATACCACACCAGACTCCCTCCGAGCCCTTGCACGTATAAGTTATCCCATCTAATCCCCATGAGGTTCTGTGATTCATGGCAAGTTACTCAACTTCTCTGAGCCCATATGAAACATGGTTGGAGCCCCAGTACTTATCTCGCAGAGGTCCTTGTGAAAATAACAGAGTCAACGTGAATCATTCAGCCTGATTCTGAGGACACAGTAAGTGCTAAAAACATCAACTGTTAAAAAGCTATGCTATTTTTATTCCTGACTATTCAAGGAAGTGTTTACAGACTGCAGATGTTAAAAATATTTCAAAATTTAAAAGCACTTCATCATTTCCATGTCTCCCAAATACCACGTGTTTGAAACTTAATCCCAAATTCGTATGTTGATGGTATCTGGAGGGGGGCTGTGGGGAGCAATGGGAATTAGACAACAGCATCAGCATGGGGTCCCCATTATGGGGCTGGTGGCTTTATAACAAAGGAAGAAATGCTTGTTATGCTTGTTCTACCCTGCCAAGTGATGCCCTCCACCATGTTATGTACAGCACAAAGCCTTCAGCAGGTGCCTGGCAGTTGCTAGCACCCTGCTTTTGGACTTCCCAGCCTCCAGAATCATGAGCCAAATAAATTTCTACTCTGTATTATATGGCCACAGGTATTTTGTTACAGCAACAGCAAAGGGACTGATGCAACAATCAAAGTGTCAATCATTCCAGCACTGGGCCATCATTTGAGTGCAAGCTTGGATGAGTGCAAAAGCAGACCTGTTGCAGCCCAACCATCTCTGAGTCCACACAGATATATTTGTGTCTTGTGGCCCAGGGCTCATGGTAGGCAGTGTAGTTGTAGGATAGCACTGTGGCTGTACTAGGTAGATTACAGCAAGAGTGCCTGTGTTCTAATCCCAGTCCAGACATTCAGTAGCTGTATAACTGTATACATTATTTAACTTATTTGAGGCTCAAGTTCTTCTTGTTGCTGTTGTCTTAGTTTTTTGAGACAAGGTCTTGTTATGCAGTTCAGGCTGGGCTTGAACTCACTGTGTAGCCCAGGCTGGCCTCCAATCCTGGTGCTCCTCCTGCCTCAGCTTCCTGAGGGCTCAGATTACAAGCACATGCTGCCATGCCTGATGAAGTTCAATTTTCTCACCTGTAAAATGGAGAGAACAATAGCACCTACCTGCAAGAATGGTCATGAGGATAAAAGGAGACAGTGCATGCAAAGCGCCTGACGTGCAATGAGCACTGGTAAAGACTCACTGTAACACCTTGGTGGACAGCATTTGAGTGGAAGACTACTTGAAATACATCCCACTAGAAAATACAAAGAATGTGTTAGACAGGGAGTTCTCATTCCTGTCATGTCAAGAACTCTGCTATGAATGGGTTGAGGTGCTTAAACAGCCAACTGTTTGAGTACTACTGATAAGGTACTGTGCTAAGCACTTTACCTACTTTACCTTATTTAATATTCAGAATAATGCTGTATGATAGGTACTATTGTTCTTCCCATTTTACAGATAAGGAAACTGAGGACAAAGAGGTTAAGCACGCTGCTCCAAGTAGTCAGTAGGACTCCTGATGTTAAATAGCTGTGTGAATACAGGTTGGGGTTTGGAGCTCACTTGACCTTGGTGTGTACAGTCTTCGTGCTGGCTAGAGATTAGGAGGCAGTAGCAGGTTTGGGTGGGGAGGGATGTGCTTATCTTTTGCAGATTCACTTACTTGTTAGTACAGGGAGTCAGATATGCAGGGGTGGTGGGAGGCTGTGGCATATTCCTAACCCCTCACTCCTGTCAGAGGCCTCTCACTGACTCCATCCACAGAGGGAGTCCTTGCAGAATGGTTTCCCAAACCTTGGGCACCTGGTATTAGGGTGAACTGAGAAAAGTGAGGAGAAGGGGCAGGGAGCCTGTGTCTCAGTACAGTGCTAAGGTTATCCAGAGATGGCTTGTTTCTGCCTGGAAACATCCATCCTACCACTGATCTGTAAAACCCTGTTGTTGAGGAGATAGCTCAGCCTGCCTGGCAAGTACAAGGTCCTGAGTTTGATTCGCTATACAAAAAAAAAAAAAAAACTTAAAAAAATTAAAACCCTGTTTCCAGAATCTCTTGTTACAAAGGGAAGGACACAGGATAATGTTAAACTGTATCATTAATTACCATTAATGGATACCATTCATTACAAGTCAAGCCCACATATTGAAAAGCTCAAATTGATTGTCTTCCAGCCAAAGACAAGAAAAGACAAAAGGATAGGAAGTTAGAAGGTGGGGCAGGAAGTAGAAGAAGAAAGGATAGGGATGGGGCAGGAGAGCAGATCTGAGAGAAATTGATGGAGCACTAGAAGCAATCTTGCCTGCCTTCACTTTCTCTTGAGCAGGCCTTGAAATGTCATTTAGGAAGACCTCTTGTGACTCTTTGGCGTGCATGCTGTACAACGCTGACCCTTGAGAGAGTGCACCCACGAGTATTGTCTCCATCTTTAAAAACACTCTATTTTCTCTTCAGTGTCTGCCTTACTGCAATTTAAGTGCCCATCAGTCAAGCAGACAGTAAGTGGCTTCTTACATAAACACACACAGAGTTCCGAGTTTGCAGGGGTCTCTGAAAAGCCTATTCCTTATAAGTTCTTTGAAGTTTTCTTTTGGCTCTAGCAAGGGTATGCAGACAACCAGAGATGGAAATTCTCTCTGTGCAAACGGCCTCCACGGCCAAAAAGTTAAAATGAAAGATAACACTCAGAACTCACTGCAGGAGCAGTCCCTGGGAGGATCACCCTTGGGTAACGCCATTGAGGTATTTCTTTTGCTTTCAGTTATTAACCCTCATTTAGAATACAACCTTAAGAAATGTTCTTACATATCTTATGAAATAAGATAATAAAACAAATGAAAAGATAAAACATAATAATAATAAAACAAATGAAATCATAATAAAACAAATGAAAGATCTAGATAAATGAAGGAAATAAAAATTATTTGTAATTACAATACTGGTACAATTCCCATTAACAGCTTTTGTTCAGACTTTTGTCTTTATCTTTGTCTCTCTATCGATCTACCCACTGATCCATGCCCACATAATATTCTTGGATACCAACCAATTTTTCTTGTGGATTTTTGAAGCATAACATGTGGACAGAAGAGTGCACAAATAATGAGTATACACAGTGTGTTTTTATATACTGAACACAAGAGTGCGCCAGCCCAAGAAACAGAGCATAACAGAGCCAGAGAGACAGAACTGGTGTGCCGCTCCTTCTGCTCCTTCTTGCAATCTGAGGCTGTTCCCTCACTCGCTTCACGCATCTGGGGTTTTCTATCTTCATGCCTTGGAAAAGGGAGGTCTGTGCAGATCACACGAACTCTCCTTTTTGACAGAGATCCAAGAATAAGACGAGAGACTTGGAAGAACATGAATCCATCTGAGCTGATTTGTCTACATCTGGAAATGTTTTCGTGCGGATCAAGATTCATACCCACTCTTTCTCTTACAGAACTTCTGAGCCAGTGCCATTTCTAGGAGACCCAGCAATGCCTGTGCTCTATTTAGTTTGCTTATTTCTGTCCTCTTTGCATCTAGAGTCCTTTATGAAGACTTAAGAGTTAGTAGCCTCCGACTTTTAATATGGTGAAGGCGTAACTGTCTGTCAGCTCAGCTGAAGTAGCCGACACACTCCAATTCTCAGTGTGCTGTTCATGTTGTCCCGAGTGCATCTCAGACGTGCAGGTGATTCTGAGACAGATGGGGCTCAGTTCTCACTCAGTTCTCAATTTTTGTCCATGCCATCACTGTGACCCTCAAATTTATCTGTGCATCTGAATTACCAGGATCTTATAAATATACAGATTCCTAGGGCCCACTACTAATCTAACCAGGCCTGGCAATCTGAATGTTGACCAGCTCACTGAGTGATATTATGCAACCAGGCTGGCATCTGTTGGAGGATTATATTTAGAAATCTCCCTTCCTATGGCCTGTGAACTCCACTGTGAGTACAAAGATTCAATGCAGTGCTGTCAAAATGACCCAGCAAAGATGATTCAGAAGGTGATGGTAGGGTACAGGGAGAAGCTGAGGTGGTAAAGTTCCTCTTCTGTCCCTCATTCAACCAGAATGACTGAACTTGCATGAAGGTCAAGAGGGGTTTGTAGACCACTCTTGGCCCACTGCATCAACTGCCACCTTTTTGCTCTGTTATTTATTTATCAACAGGGAAATTCATGTGGGGGTAAGTGTACCCTGGGGAAGCCCTCTCCTTATGTCCTGAGGAATGGCTTACTGCAACTGTGACACTGTTGGTTTCTGCATTGTAGCCATGCCAGTATCTACAGGTCTCCTGAGGCTGCTGAGAAATGCTGTCATGGATGAGATTATCTTTTTGATCAGAGGTCCTTTGAGCCTGGCTAGGAAGGCTTTTAGAGCTCAGTTTTCACTTATTAAAAACATAACAAGGGTGCAGAGAACATTTACAATGGGAAAAAAATAAAGGCCTTTAAAAGCCACAGCTGTACCAGACTAGATCACCCCTCTAGAATGAGCTAAAGTGTGAGCTCCAAACGTAATAACCCATTAGGATGATGTGTAAGTCGGTCATCAGTCACATTAGACTATGTACTGTTACAGCCAGCACCTGCTACCATTAATGACAGCGCTGGTCTTTTGTTTAGGGCGGCCACTGAGTGAGATCGGTGAACAGTCAAAGTTCAGTGTCCGCCAATGGAAAAACTCAAGGAGAAAAAAATCCTCCAATTGTGATGCTGAAGGAGAAGTTAGAGAAGGAACTTGTCAGAAAACCCCCAAACAAAAAATGGAGCAGTTATTCTGTCACTCCAAATCCTGGTGCTGCATACAGCGAGAGATGCTGCCTTAGTTTCAGGCTGTTAAGACTCACTCAAGACTGAGTGATCTACAATGAAGAGAAATTTGTTAGTGCACTGATCTCAAGATAAGGAAGTCCAAGAGCAAGGTGGCAGCACGAAGCAAGGACTTTCTTGCTGCCTCATTCCATGGTGGAAGGTGAGGGGTGAGAAGGTGAGAGAGTGAGAGTGAAGCCATTCTTGAGAACGCTTTTTGCAGTGGCATCAATGTATTCATGCAATGGAACCCTCATGACCTGGACAACTCCCATGATCCTCCACTGCCCCACAATTAATTTCGAATCCAGGAATTCTGGGTACACATTTAAAGCATAGCAGATGGGGAAGATTTAAACCTCTCAATTGGATTCAAGAAGCAAGAATAAGAAAATCAAGGTTATGTGGGTTTTTTTTTTTTTTTTGGTATTTGATTAATAAAAGTAAAACAAAACACACATGAACAGCTAGGTGAATTTTTATGGTGTGAATCTGCCATCTTTGCAAAGTGAGCCTCAGGTGAAGGACTAGAACACTGACAGTTCAAAGAATCTCCTTTGCCATCTCCAGCCACTGCTTTCCACCAAGGGACTGATTTCTTTTAACTTTAAAATTTTGCAGTTCTTATCAGTACATGTTTGCAAGGTATAATGATTGCATTCATTGTGGGGAGCTGGTGCATGCAGACAACACATTTTCATTCTTTCTTCCCCTTCTCCTACCCTCTCTCTCCCTCCCCCAATCTCTTAGTTCCTTCCTTTCCTTTAATTACTAACATCAGGGCTACATTTGACTACTTTTGAACCTTACTTAAACAGACTCCAGCAGTATATACTCTTTTCTACCTGGCTTCTTTTGAGCTATATTGTGTTTATGAGATTCATCTACACATTTGTTCATAGCTATTCATTTTTATTACTGTGTAACAATATTCTATCATATGAACATGCCACAGATTTTCTTTTCTGTTTCAGACCATTTAAGTTATTTCAAAGTTTTTCCCATTATAAAAAATCCTCCTGTAGAATTTTTATATGATTTTAAAATAATTTTCCTTGTGTTTTACCATAAAAATAACTCAACCATTTTTATTTAAAAAGAAAGTATTAAATATGTGGCAATATATTTTCTTCAGAGTGAAGTTTTGATTATTCTTATCTGTCATCCTAAGCATATGGCTTCTATTTCCATGGTCACTCAGTAGGTCAGTATTGTTGCTAGCAGGCTGATAGTACGTCCGTGTTACTAGTCAGAAGCAGAGCGGAGAACATAAAAGGGCATGCCAACTTCG